ATTTTTTTTTTTGCAAGCCAGAGGTGCATGACACAGACATCCTCCCCAGCCCAGCCCATCTCTGCCATGGCTCCGCTCCCAATCCAGGTTTCTCCTGCACCCAGCCGTGGAAAGCAAACCCCCAAATTCCCCTTCTGTCCCCTCTTGGTGCAGTGAAGGAGGGTGACAGCAGGAGGACGTCCCTCTCCTCTCTTGTGCAATATGAAGCAGGGCTCTGGGACTGAGGCTGCAGGTATCAGGCACTTACCAAACCAAATATCTGTCTTGGGGATTAACTACCACCGGAGAAACATGTTCTCACCCAGCCTGTCCCTCCTTGCGGGGCCGTCCAGAGCACACACGAGCCTCAGGCCACTTCGGACCCTGTTGCGGGAATCCAGCTTGGCTTTGCAAGTCACAGCTTAATCCCCTGCCCCATGGGAGAGGGCGAGAGGGTTTGGGGGTACAGTGGGTGAGGAGACACTTCTGTACGTGGAAAACTATTGCAAAGAATATAGGGAGCAATGGCTGGACACAAAACTCCCATTTTTTAGACCCTCTTACAAAACAAGAGCTGCTTTTCTGCCTCTGATGGACCCCAAGGACTTAAGCTGCTGGATGTGATGGCTGCTGAGATGAAGGATAACATCTGGAAGGAGCCAGATGTGGGGGTCCCCTGGGAGCCAGCATCTGCAAATCTCTGCCAGGCTGCAGGGACCGGTGGCTGGCAGTCCTGGGCTGGGGCAGCGCTTATTCCCCAGTCCCCCCACGCTCTTTTCCTGCGTGGTCTGGGAAAACTGGGGCTGCTCTTCAGCAGCTCCAGGGTTTGGGATGCTGCAGTCCATTTGCTGGTTGTTCCCTGGGAGAAATCAGCTTCTTAGGGCAGAAGATAAATCTAATTCCTGGTCTCATCGCCTCCCCTGTCTGGGCATCTCAGCTGAGTGATGGATGCGGTTCCCTTCCGAGCTCTCTTGCTTGGTTTGGAAAACAGGTGGGAGGCTGCAGGTCTGCAAGCTGATGCCCAGCTTGGGGAGGATACAGCAGACAGGGTGGATTTGTGGCTGTGGGGGACACCGAGGCTCATCGCAGGCTGGATGAAGGCTGTGAGCCAGCCCGTGGTCCCATGCACTTGCTGTTGTGAGCTCCCCCCAATAGAAAGAGTGACAGTGAAGAACTAGGCTGAGCCACCCAACACATCTCCCAGAGCATTCCCCAGTACAGCATGATATCGAGTTATCGACTCTCTCAGTAGTCAGGGAGAGAAGATGAGCGCTGGGAGAGCCCCCGCAGTGTGCCTGTCCCATGGTGGTGGCTCCTGGAAAACCCCCAACTGGTCCCTCTCCTGCTGCCTTCCACCTCCAGGAAACTCCTGCTGGGTTTGTGGCTCCCATTTTCCTCCTCCTGCAGCCCAACACCGGCGTTATCCCACTGAGGGCTCCTTGCTTCCACCCAGGAGGCAACAAAACCTCGTGGATTTTAGCCCATGGAATCGGGCTGATGTTCCCAGACCCAGCGGAAGGGATGCTCACCCTACAAACACACTTTGTGGATGCACAGAGAAACAGGAGGGCTCAGCTCATGATGAGAAGGTTTGGCTGGTTGAGGTCGTGCCTTGGAGTCATGCACCCATGGAGCAGCCTAAAGAGGGACCATCACACGAGAAATAAGAGATGCAAACCTTGCAGAGGGTGGCTGGAAGAGCCTGCAGAACACCTAAACCTGAGCGGGGCTTTGCAGACGAAGCATCACCAGGGCTTGTTATCCCAAAGCAGCCAAAAGGTGGGATCAGAGGGGCCACGCTGAGCCAGGCAGGACCATGGCTGGGGTCTCCTCGTGGCCTTGGAGACATCGGCTATGTCTCCTGACACACTCCCGGCTAGAGAGGAAAGAGGGACCCAAACCCCCAAGGGCTGGCACATCTCCTGAGCCACTGGCAGAGAGGAGGGCAGGAGAGAGAAGAGCTCATCCCCACCTACAGGCATCCATCCCAGCGAGGACAGACACATGGATCCCCAGGGAGGACTTCAGGAATTCCTTTGTGGGACACATCCCCAGACACATCCAGAATCAAGTGACCAGGAGGCAGGAGCCAAAGGGGACAGGGACAAAGACAAGGCTGTGACACAGGTCCAACACCCACCCTGGAGGTTGTGCCCAAGGCAGGACTAGCACCCACCCCAGGAACCTACCTGGAGCAGGAGCTGCAGGAGGGACATCCAGCAAGGCATGGTCAGGAGCATCCCTCAGGGCAGGACTAACCTCCCCAAGCTGAGCTTAAATAACCTCCTGGGCTATGGGTGGGGTGTGAGTCCTAGGTGAGGCTGCTCAGGGCCATCAAGAGCTGGTGTTGCCCATGGGAAGATGGTGGTTTGGCCCCACAGCTGCCCAGATGTGGCTTTACTGGTCGCATGGCAATGCCCAACTGGGCTGTACTGGGGTACAGTGGTCCCTGCCGAGCCTGGTGTCATGTGGAACTCATCCCCACCCAAAGCGGTTCGATCCCCAGAGTCAGGACAGCCCTTGGGATAGTTGTTTGTAGGGCAGAAGTTGGGTTTTCAACCCCAGTATTGGAGGTTTGGTGCCGCTGGAGCACGAGGGATGCTGGTGCTTGTTGCGGGAGGGGGTGGCAGGGGTTTCTGGTCCCTGTGTGCCATTAACGGGGGAGGTTAAAAAGCAGCTTATCCCATTGCTGGGCCAAAGCTGCCTGTCCTGCCTACCCCAACCTAAAAATGTGTGTGTGCCTGTCTCCTCCTTGGTTTCTTCTGCAGCAAGCTCTGAGTCTTGTCAGGGCATTTGGAGGCGGGGGGAGATTTAAAGGCATCTTTCCTCTCCAGTGATGCTCTCCTATGGCATGGTCTCAAACACTGTTATCAGACCACATACCCACCTTCTCCCTGTCTTTTCAGACCTCAAATCCTTTTTTTCTTCATTCCCCTGTGGGGTCCCTGCGGGGTATGAGGTGCGGGTGGCCCCGATTGCTCCCAGGCCCCCTGCGCAGGGACAAAAAGCCCCGGGTGCCGGTGGCCGTGTCCCAGGCGGGTGCTGAGAATGGTTCTTTGTTCCCTGGTCCTAATTGCCAGGCCCAAGCAGCTCGTTAACCGCTCAGCCCCGCGTCCTTCCGTCCCTGCAGCCGCCGCTGAGCCAGCTCAGCCTCCCAGTGCGGATTTTGGGGGGGGGCACACATAAAACCAGCTCAGTGCAAGCTTGGGGTGAAGCTGCCAGCATTGCTCGTCTCTTTACACAGCCTGGGGAGGGTCCAAGGGGGTGCCCAGGAAGGGGGGTTTGGACGTGCTCCATCAGCAGGTGCCCAGAGCCTCCTCTGCAAACTCCATCACAGTTTTCTCAGCCCCAAAATAACCAGCTCTTGGTTGTTTTGGGAGCTGGGGACGGTAGCAGCCCCACCGTCCATGTGCGGTGGCTTTGGGACACGCTGGAGGACACAGGGTTTGCTCTGAGCCCCAAGCAGCCAGCGACCCTAAGCAGGGTCCAGGGCTGGGGTCCTTCCCCCTGCGCCCTGATTGCCCCGGGGCAGAGCTGGGAGCACAATCAGCCCTTTTGGGAAGCTCGACAGAAATGATTTAGAAACAATTTTGGGGCTCTTCCGTGGAGGGAGTTTGCATTTGCATTTGAAAACTCCGGAGGAGCTGGGAGGGGGACGGGAGCACTGGCTGGGTGCTGTCAATGGGAAACTGTTCTGTCCAACGCTGCCGGGGCCAAAAAATGTGAACTGCACAGATTTCTGGCTCCAATCATGGTCAGAATTGCTGGCTCCGTTGTCGGTGCCTGGTTGCTCTGCTCCCAGCTATTAACAGCTCTGCTCAGAGCTGGTTTTCCCTGGCTGCCAGAGCAGGGTTTTGTGAAAGACGGGGCGGAGGAGGGGGCCCAGGGTGTGAAATGGGGGGGATCCAGCTCGCTGCCTTTGGGACCTGGGAAGGCTGTTCACGGTCTCCTGTTCTTATGAGCCCAGGATCCAATTTGTGGTGTTTTCAATGCTAAAACCATCAGTTTGCTTTTGCATCATGAGTGGAGCTGAGGCCCAACACACTCATGTCACATAAGACCCCCTTGTGCAAGCCTACGGGGTCACCGCCTGCTTTGGGGTCCCAGGAGACTCCACTGTGGTTAATAAATGCTCCTTTTTTTTTTTTTATTTTTTCCCCTCCTTTCTCAGCCTGTTTTACACCACTCACCCTTCACACCAGGGAGGTAACCTGCCCCAGCACCCCCCCAACTTACCCCACCCCACGGTGCTCATCCGTCATCCTTCCTCCCCAGCTCCCACAGGTGCTCTTGCTGGAGATGCTGCTGCTGGGTGCAGGCATCTCCCTACGTCTCCTTGATCCTCATAGAAAATGAACCATCCCCGGTTCAGGTGGGGACGGTGATGGAGTGGGGACCACACAGGGATGCTGCGGGGGCCACACAGGGATGATGCGGAGAGCAGGGACAAGCTGGCCACGGCAGCTTGCCTCGCTGTAGTGCGTGCACAAAAAAAAAACAAACCCCGGAGAGCTTTGCACCCAGCTGGAAATAATGGCATTACAAGCGCTTGCTCACTTCTGGCCGCTGTTTGGGTTGGGTGAGGATTTTCGGGGCCGGCTAAAGGGCTGTGGCACATTGGGGTTTGCTTCTGGGTTGGGCGCAGCTCTGGGAAGGTGAGTGGGAAGGGAGTGGGAAAGGAATGGGAAAGGAATGGGAAAGGGTCCCCGGGCATGGGGGCTTGTCAGCGGAGCACAAGGATGGGGACAGGGCACTGGCATGGTCCTCACCTGTGTCCTGGTGTCGTGCCCAGGTACTCACCAGCATCCGGAGGTTTGTACCTACAGAGCATCCCCTGCGTGGAAAAGTCCTGCTGCCGCTGTGTGGGCTGCATCCTCCGGATCCCAGGGCGGGAAGGATGGGGATCCTGGGCAGAGAGCGGAGGGAATGGGGAGAAAAACCAGGCAAATGGTCAAAGCTGTGCATTTTTCTTTATTTTCTTTCTGCTTTGTCCAGGAGAGGTGTGAGGGCTCGCCGGCAGCATGCCGCTGGTGAAGAGGAATATTGAGCCCCGGCATCTATGCCGGGGGGCTCTTCCCGAGGGGGTGACGAGTGAGCTGGAGTGTGTCACCAACAGCACGCTGGCTGCCATCATCAAGCAGCTGGGCAGCCTCAGTAAGTCACGGCACAGCCACCCTGGCGTGGGACGGGCTGGTGGGATGCTGGTGGGATGCTGTGGTTGCTTGTTTCAGTTCCAATCACAGAGAAACAGGGGGTACATGAGAGCCACGCGGGCTGCAGCCACCCCTAATTCAGTGGGAATTATCCAGCTGATAATAAAAAAAGGAGGATGCTCAGGGCCAAGCCCAAGGTAGGGGCTTGGGGACATTTTTAAGACCCATTTTCCTCCCATAGCCAGTCTGTGCGGTGGGGGACAGAAAGCCTTTGAGAGCCCCGTGATGCTCAACTTGGCCAGGAACAGGAAGGTCAGGCAAAGATTAAAAAAACCCCAACCTGTTCTTTTTCATCTTAGAGCTTTATGTGAAAGAGAGGTCTATAGAAAAGGTCTCGACCCTCAGCTCTCTCCCTGCCCTGGGACTGATTTCAGCATCGAAAAGCAGGATTAGACCATTGCACGTGCCTGTGCGAAGGCTTAAGGGGGCAACCGACTTCACTGCTGAATAGTGACTTGAGAGAGAAGCATGAGCCATCAGGGCTCCCTGTCTTTTTTTCCCCCTCCAGAACCAGATTTCTCTCTAAAATACTCCGAGAAAAATAAACCCTGTATTTAGGGAGCTGCTGGAAGTGCAGCGGCCAGTGTGAGCAGCACCCATGGGTGCTCCGGACGTGGCCGCCTCGTCCAGGGGAAAAGGAAATCAAATGCAAATAACCCAGCTGGGTGCCAGGCTGAGCAGGTGTCGAAGGTGCCTTGATTGTGAGAACTGGTTGAGACGTGGTTTGGGAGGAAACCTCGAGGAGGTGGGGTGCTGGGATGGGATGGGTGCTGGGACAGGATGGGTGCTGGGATGGGAAGGGATGGGATGGGTGCTGGGATGGGATGGGATGGGTGCTGTAGCCTGCAGGTGTCAGCAATGCTCTGCCCAGCACCCTGCTCAGACCTGGGATAGCAGCAGCCCTAATAAAGAGCTGTCGAAGTGATTTCTGCAGAATTCCTGCAGAAAAATAGTGATAAAGTGAAGCAAATCATGGCTGTGATGCTCTCCCCACTGCCCTGCTCTCAGTTTTCCACCTTCAGGGCTGGGTTTCCACAGGTCATGTTGCGTGATGGTGATTTTTTGGCTGCATTGGTAGATCCAAAGGCTTTTTTGGGGCGATGCCTGTCCTGGTTCAGTGCCTCCCGTGGGTACCGCTCTCGCTGAAAAGGATGCTCATGCACAGAGGAGAGAAGCGGGTGGTTTGTGCTTCCCTCCCTCCGTGTGGCACTTTGCCAGGGCTGGGAGAGGATGAGGTTCAGCTCCTAAAAAAACCAAGGCTGGGGAGAGAGCCCCACGTCCGGGCGATGGGCTGGGAGAGGGCTGCCTGCCTGCCGCCGTTGCCGGTGACGGGTGTGCGTTGCCGTCTTTCGCCAGGCAGGCACGCGGAGGACATCTTTGGCGAGCTGTTCAATGAAGCCAACAGTTTCTACATGCGGATGAACTCGCTACAGGAGAGGGTGGACCTGCTGGTCATCAAGGTGACGCAGCTGGACTCCACCGTGGAGGAAGGTGAGGGGTTGGGGCTATTTCAGGGTGATGGCCAGGCGTGAGCGGGTGGGAGATGCCTGCTGGGGGCTGGACCACGCACTGTGCCCAGTTTGGGGGGGCTGAGGCTGCCCCTGCATCTTCTCTCCTTCCTGTGTTCCCCAGTTTCGCTGCAGGACATCAACATGCGGAAAGCCTTCAAGAGCTCGACGGTGCAGAACCAGCAGGTCGTGTCTCGCAATTCCATCCCCAACCCGGTGATGGAGATGTACCAGCGCTGCGACAAGCCCCCTCCACTCAACATCCTCACGCCCTACAGGTAGGGTGGCTGCCACATCGCACCTTGAGGGGACTGAGGGGATCCTGGAGGGCCCTTTCCAGGAGAGGCATTGGGGAGCGCACCCTGTTTGCTGCTTGGGGAGGGCTGGAGAGGCTGTTTTCTTCGGTTGCTGTGCCACCGTCCCCATTGCATAGGGAACTTGGGACAAGGGACCCCACGCAGTGGTGCTGCAGGTCACAGCCGCTGTGTTGGACGTGTTCATGGTGGGACAACAATTTATGGCTGAGATTGTACCAAACCCTCCCTGTACAGGGGAACGGGGGTCTTCTCCTGTGGCAAATAACCGCCTCTCCTCCCTCTCCAACCCCCCCCCCAGGGATGACAAAAAGGACGGCCTCAAATTCTACACCGACCCCTCCTACTTCTTCAACTTATGGAAGGAGAAGATGTTGCAGGCGACAGAAGATAAGAGAAAGGAGAAGCGCAGGCAGAAGGTAACGGGCAGGTGGGGGACATCAGGTGGGGGGCTGGAGCTGGGGCTGCCAGGGACCTGGGGGATGGTCACCTTCCTGGTGCATCCCATGTGCTCCCTGTGGTGGTGGGCGTATCTCGTGGGGCTGGGCGATGCTCCCTGGGTACCACTCACGGTCCAGAGGGGCCGGGCTGGAGATGAAGCCATGGCTTTTGTGTGCCCCCAGGAGCAGCGACTGGTGGAGGATTCCACCCGGGAGGTGAAGAAAGTGAGGAAAGCCCGCAACCGGCGCCTGGAGTGGAACATGATGGCGTATGATAAAGAGTTCCGACCCGATAACAGGTTCTCACCATCCCCCTATCACGTGGCGTCATCGGAAGGATCACTGTCCCCAGATAATAGGC